GCGCCGAGGCTGAGGGGCAGTGGGGAAAGGGAGCGGTTGGACTAGATGGGTCTCCGGAGGTCCCTTCCAACCCCAGCCGTTCGTGATAACCACACGTCCCGCTTCGGCCCCGCGCTCTCTGGAATAAAACCCGACTGCCTTGGCGTTCCCGGCTGGAGCGCACGGCTGGGGCGTCCTGGCGCCGTGCCACGCAGGTCCAGCGGACAAACCCACTCAAAACCCTCCTTGCATGGCAACTCTTCCTTGGGCACAAGTTCTTTTGGAAATGCACAACTGGCGCTCCTGCAGCCGCTGAGCCATGTAGTCAAAGGGAACCGAACTGTGACGAGACGGTGAAACCCTTCCAGGAGCGATGGAGGGATTTATCTGCTGCCCAGCTTTCTGCGTCTGCCATAGCCAGCGGTGCCAGCTGCCTGCAGAGCCGAGCCCCGAGCTGCTGCGTGGGTGACAGCCCGCCCGTCCGCAGCCGGTGACTGCCACTGCACGCTCAGCCCCTCCGCTCCGGAGTCCCTCCTGCCAACCCTAAACACCATCCCAAGCAGAATCCCAAAGGGACAAGCCCTGGCCTGACTCACCGACTGAGCCAATAAAGGGGTTTTTTTGTCCATGTCAGCCACCAAGGGAAAACTCCTGAGCCACAGATGTGCCTTCAGATTTTCCTATTCAGCTGATGGCTTCAGAGCTCCTCCATGAGCTCAGGTAAAGAGCTTGGGTGGCATCTCCCCGTTTCATCGCCTGGCTGGACATGGCTTCTGACAGCCACTGCTCAGCAAATGCTGTTCTCTGCTATTCCCTTATTCCACGCACCCCCCCTCAATCTACTTAAATTTCTCAGGGCAAAAAAATGTCTTGGCTTAGGTGGCTGTGCAGCACTCAGAAGCTTCCAGGTGTGGCTGTAACATAGATAATTAATAACAAGAGAAACAAAACAAACACTCTTAATTGCCTGGACATTGTCTGACTGCAGGCGCCATCCGGACGAGCAGAGTAACTCCAACTGGCACTTGGTTTATTGATTAGACTCTGCCCCTGCCTGAGCCCCGTCTAATACATTCACTAAGTGCAGCTCCACAAAGACCCAGCCCCGCGCTAATGAAAGGGGCCACCGAAGCATTAAACCCCCCCGGCAGTTGCTGTAAAGGAGGCAGCCCCAGGAAATAAAACTCTGGATGCTACAGCACATGGCAAGCGCCCAACTGCACCCATACCAAGAAAGTCACTGTGTAATTATGAGAACTGGGCATAACCTTTGTGTGGTTTAAAAAATACTAAACATGCCAAAAAGCAACAGCAAATTGTCTTCAGGAAACAGTATAAATGAGTGTAAGCAGCAAATTCACCATTTTGACTGTTTTCCAATTGCCTGTAGCTACACTTGTTAAATTGAGTGCTGCGTGCATAAATCAAACCAGGATGTTTTCTTTTACCTAACAATGGCCAAGCTCTGTGCCAGTGCTTAAGTATTTTCTGCATGGATCCAGTCTGAAGTTTTAAGCGCATTTTTCCCTATAGATCTCGGTACGTATAGCACATGTACATACAGCCAGCCCGTCTAACGTCGCAGTTATTTTCTGAGACCTTTTTAAGACAAGGTTAACGAAAAATCAACAACTACCATCCTTGTTGATTTTTATTGGGCCCTAGGGTACAATTAAATGTTAAGGTTGTTATTGAATTTTCTTGACAGATTGGATTTCCCTGTTTAGGAAGCACGCGTGCATCCAGCATGCACCCACCTCTCTTCCTGGGGTGAAGATGTTAGGACATGGGTATAAGAAGGACAGTGGGACATCTCTGCCTGGCAGAAATGGGGGAATATTTTCCAACGTTAAAGGGAGCCTGCAGTATGTCTTAAGATGGAATGTGCCTTTGCCTATTCTGTTTTCAAGCCAAATATTGCAGTTACGTGTATGTACACATGCGTGTGCTACACACCCGTGGTGGGGGTTACTCCGAGAACAAAAGCTGTGAGCAGCACAGGGATGCTGAGCAGCCTCCACGCAGCTCCTGTAGGTACTGAGATACCTGATCTACGATATACGAGTTCTGATACCCGGATCCTGTACCCAATATACAGAGATCATAGGATCATAGAATCATAGAATGTTTTGGGTTGGAAGGGACCCCTAGAGGATATCTAGTACGACCCCCCTGCAGTGAGCAGGGACACTGCTAACTAGGTCAGGTTGCTCAGAGCCCCATCCAACCTGGTCTTGTCCAAAGACTCTGTGGTCCTCGGAGCATCTTTTCTCAGTAGGTCCAGACAAGCTATGGAGCTGAAACACCCCGGTGCAAAGCCAGAATGGGAGCACAGAGGG